AGGGTCTGTGCAACTTTAAAACTTCCTGTCAGTCAGACTTCCAAGTTCCAGGTAGAAATGGGGAACGGAGTGAGCATTTATAATAAAGGGAAATGCGAAAAACTTCCAGTTAAAATTCAAGGCCTTTGGATTGAACAATATTTTTATATCTTGGACCTTGGGGGAACGGATTTAGTCTTGGGAATGGAATGGCTGGTCAGTTTGGGAAGGGCGGAGGCTGATTTCAAACAATTGATTATTCAATGGGAAGTGGATGGAGAGAAGAAAATAATACAAGGTGATTCAGCTTTGAGTAAAGCTACAGCCTCTTGGAAAAGTTTGAAGAAAAGTCTACAGGGTAAGGGAGAGGACTGTTTATTCATTGTGAAGAGATAGCTTCTGAAGAAATTGAAATTGGAAAAGAATGGGAAGAGATACTGTCAATATTAAAGAGGGTGCTACCATTCCCAACATCAGACCCTATTGTTACCCTCAGTACCAAAAGGATGAAATTGAAAAGTTAGTTTATGAAATGCTGAAGGTGGGGATTATCAGACCAAGCAACAGTCCTTACAGCAGTCCCGTAATTCTGGCCAAGAAGGAGGGTGGTTGGAGGTGCTGCGGAGATTATAGGGCTTTGAACAAGATCACCGTCCCAAATAAATTTCCAATACCTGTCATTGAGGAGCTCCTAGATGAATTGGGACACGCGCAGATTTTCTCCAAGTTGGATCTCAAGTCAGGCTATCATCAGATCCGAATGAAAGAGTCTGACATTCACAAAACGGCTTTTCGAACACACGAAGAGCATTATGAATACCTAGTGATGCCCTTCGGATTAACAAATGCTCCATCTACCTTTCAGTCGCTAATGAATCAAGTTTTATAACCATACCTCAGGAAATTTGTTTTGGTGTTCTTTGACATTTTGATTTACAGTAGGAGCTCAGAGGAACATAAATAGCACCTCAAACAAGTACTTCAAACTCTGGAGGAAAATCAGTTGGTGGTTAATAAGAAAAAATGCAAATTTGGGCAGACTCAACTAGTGTACTTGGGGCATATCATTTCTGGGCAAGGGGTGAAGGCAGATCCTAGTAAAATTCAAGACATGATTGATTGGCCACTACCACAAAGCTTAAAAGGATTGAAGGGTTTTCTGGGATTAACGGGATATTACAGACGATTTGTTAAAGGATATAGCAAAATTGCTACTCCTCTAACAAATATGATTAAGAAGGAAGGGTTTCATTGGAGTCCTGAAGCAGTAGCAGCGTTTGAAAAATTAAAGATAGCCATGACAACTTTACCCGTCTTGGCTACCCCAGATTTTGAAAAGCCATTTGTTATTGAGACACCGGGAATGGAGTAGGAGCAGTCTTGATGCAACAAGGAAGACTCATCACGTATATGAGCAAGGTGTTGTCTACCAGAAATCAGGGCAAGTCGGTATATGAAAGAGAACTATTGCCTATAGTGTGGGCCATTCAAAAATGGAGACCTTATCTTTTGGGAAGGAGTTCTGAAGTACATACTGATCAAAAAAGTTTAAAATTCCTCACACAACAAAGGTTGCTAGGGGAAGATCAACATAAATGGATTTCAAAATTGATGGGGTATAATTTTATTATCAAATACAAGCAAGGCTGCCAGAATAAAACTGCTGATGCTTTATCCAGAAAAGGTTCCTTAACTTCATTATCGGTGGTGACTTGTCAAGAGTGGGAAGGTTTGAAGAAGAATTGTTGAAGGATTTTTTGTGCCAAAAACTGATCCAGGATCTTCTTGCCCAGCCAGATTCACATGCAGGGTTTAGTTTGAGAAAAGGACTGCTATACTACAAAGGCAGATTGGATATTCCAAAAGGATCGCCCTGAATATCAACTATCTTAAAAGATTTTCATGACTCGGCTTGTGGGGGACATTATGGTCAACTCAGGACTTTAAAACAAATATCCAATGTGGTGCTCAGGGAAGGTATGAGGGCAGATATCCAGAAATATGTGAGAAGTTGTGACATATGTCAGCGAAATAAATATGTGAGAACTTGACTCCGGCAGGGTTGCTTCAACCACTGCCTATTCCTAGCCAAATTTGGGAGGACATAAGCATGGATTTCATCGGAGGTCTTCCTCGAGCAATGGGTAAAGACTCCATATTAGTAGTGGTGGATCGACTTACCAAGTTTGCACATTTTATTGCTCTATCTCATCCCTATACGTCCAAAGGAGTTGCAGAAGTTTTCATTCAAGAGGTGGTCCGACTTCATGGGTTTCCTAAGACCAATGTTACGGATAGGGACAGTATTTTCTTAAGTACATTCTGGTCCGAGTTATTCAAGTTGGCAGGGACAAAATTGAAATACAGCACTGCCTATCACCTGCAAACGGATGGGCAGACTGAAGTGGTGAACAAATGTTTGGAAAGCTAATTGAGATGTCTGACAGGGACTAAACCCAGGTAGTGGCCTAAGTGGTTATCTTTGGCAGAATACTGGTACAGTACCAGTTACCACTCGTCTATAAAGAGCACCGCTTTCAAGGCTCTATATGGACAAGACCCACCACATTAGTCAAAGGAGATACAAACTTAACGGCGGTGGATGAGGTGTCTAAATTAACAGCGGAATGAAATGGGGTTCTGCAAGAATTGAAACATAATTTGGCAGTAGCAGTAGCTCAAAACCAGATGAAGCAACAAGCCAACAAACATAGAAGAGACCTACAACTTGCAGTGGGAGATATGGTGTTCTTAAAAATACAGCCGTATAAACTAAAGAGTCTGGCTAGGCAAATAAATCAGAAGCTGAGTCCTCGGTTTTACGGTCTGTTTGAAGTGCTTGAAGTGATTAACCCGGTGAACTATAAATTGAAGTTACCGGAAGGGTGTGCCAAAAAAGCTAACATTGAACAGATACTATGTAGGTTAGAAAGAATTGCCAAAAAAAAAAACAATCAACATGATCTAACGATTAAAAATAATACTTTATGTGAATAAGTAAAGAAATTGATATAATTAGATTCATCTTTAGCCTAAAATGAAAGTGGCCAAGATTGTGCATCTTAGGGCCTACCTTACATGATCATTATCTTGTGTATATGTACTTACAAAATTTGGTTCAAATGAGAACACGATCTCAGGAGAGAAATAAGAATGAATCTGGAGTGTTGGATTTAGGAATTGTGCATTATGTGAAACAGAAATGTGCACTACCGTGAATGAGAGAATGCAGTGACGTTTTTGTAAATAAATTCAACTTTTTCTTTTTTCTGATACTTTGAAGTGTGCATTATCTTAATCATAAAAGTGCAATGCCATGAACTAGAATGTGCATTGTTTCATATTGTTCTCATTTCTCACGGGAAGAAGCGTTCTTACCATAATTGTGCCTGTACTTATATGTCCATATGTATGTGTAATTGTGTACATACACATATAAATGTTTCTTTGTGTGTATGTACACATATGTGTAGTGCACAGAATATATAAATATATATATATATATATATATATATGTATGTATACACACACATATATGGTCGTCAATATGGATACATTAATGTGTATGTTTGTGTGTGTATATACACAAATGTATGTATGTGCATATCTATATGTATGCATATATACATATCTATATGTATGCACATATACATATCTATATGAATACATAGATATATACGGAGCGGATCAGGTGAGAAATATTCTTAGGCTGAGAACTGCAAAGTAGTTTAAGAAGTTGTAAAAGTTACACATTTGGCTTTTTAAGTAGGGGTTTTTACCCTAATAGGAGTAAAACATGGCATTTTTTCCAAAATAGGACCACTTAGTTCAAACATTCTTAAATAGGACTTTTTATGTGTGATTGGACCAAAATTCCCCTATTGCTGCCCCTGGACTGCTGCCAATTGTCTGCCGCCGACCACCACCAACTGCCACTGGACTGCAGCTAGAGCTCCGGCAACCACCACCGGAAAAATTTCCAGAATTTTTTCTGGACTTCTCCAACAATTCTGCCGCCGAGCTGCCGCCACCACCGGATTTCCCCGCTACCAACGGACTGCCTTGGTTGTGCAAGAGGACTAGAGGAGGGGCAATTAATTGGGTTAATTAATCGCCAGAGTTCGCTGCCGCCCCGCCGGAATCCACCGCTGACCGGCTGCGGGAGTGCTGCCGCCACCACAGACTGCCCCGCCACCGACGGACTGCCTTGGTTGTGCAAGGAAACTAGGGGGGAATTATTTAGATCAATTAATTAATTAAATAGAATTAGGGGTAAAAATGGTAAGGTTAGTCCTATTTAGGGAAAACCAAACATTAAGTCCTATTTTGGGAAAAAGCCTATGTTTTTGTCTTAGCCATGGCAATTTTCTCTTATAAGTTATGTTTAATGTATTAATAGTTTATTAGGACATATATGTCTTGGTAAATAAATAAATATCTTTTTGATAAATATTTTTTTGTAAGTATTTTTCAACTACTACTAGTGTTTTTCAGTGTAATCTCATACTTCCTCAATTTTTCACTATAAAATTATACTTTTGATTTAGAGTTGTTGGATTTATAAGTTATGATTTCTGTTATATAAGTTACCTTGTTGTCTCACTTAGTTAAACTTCACAGTTCTCAGCCTAAGACACACTTCTCATGTGATCTTTTCCCTAATATGTGTGTGTGTGTCCGAGCATATAGGAAAAAACTATACTTTCCTATTGGTTTATTTTAATATGGAAGCCCGGTAAAAATAATAATAAACCCAGTAAAATCCAGTAAGAAATTTTTACATGCATATATATATAATTAATAAATATACATGCATATATTTATTTATTTAATAAAAGAAAAGAAAATACTATTTGATGGTATATTTAAATGTGGCCATTTCTACCCTTTTCAGCCAAAAAATCATGTGTTTGGTGAATAATGACTGAGATAAGCTAAATTAAAGCCTAGCATATGGGTTCTATAACCTCTTAAATACACCCACACACATTTATTTATTATTTAAAGTATATCGTGCGTACTGAAGAAAAAACTAGCTTCGAGTTGTCCTCTTCCAAGTCAGATTTCTGTTTTCTAGATGTGTGGCCCTGGACCTCATTAGGAGTGTTGTGATCTTGAGACACTTCCGGGTTGGAAGATGATTCATCTACGTTATCCTGAAACAACAACAACATCAACATCAACATCCAAGCTTTATTCCCAAAAGGTTTGGGGTATGTTATCCTGAAACGTGAAAACAAACTCAACAACAACAAATAGCACTAACTACTTTGTTAGAATATTATAAATTATGAGATTGAGTTTCCTATATACATCAAACAAGGAGAAGTAAATCTTACAAAGGCCTGGAATTGTTTTCATGTTTCTCACTAAGAGGTGAGATTTTGATAATAAGGCAGACTGTGAATCCTTCATGACAAAGTGAGAAAGTTGAAATGGGAATGGAATCTGACATAAAACTTTTGCCGAAATGGTATTCTAATGAATTTATAATGTTAACTAAATTCAGATAATTAAATTAAATTATACAATTCATGATAATAAGTTAATAACCTCAATACAATCAGGATTAATGTTAAATGGTGCATGACGATGATGAAAGTAAGAGTGTAAGACGACTTAAAGGCATAACTAACAAAAAAGTGTAATTTAATGATGCATATTTTAACAGTTCAACTATGACAAAGGAATTCTTACTTTTTCCCCGAGTTCAATGAGGTTGTTGTTTCCAGCACTGGTGAGATACTGAGAGACTTTAGCTTTGGAATAAAGCTTTTTTCCTGATGGACTAACATAACACTGCAGAACATTGGGTTAAAAAAAAAAATCAATCTTGCCAGTAAATTTCATCACATAGTAGAATGACAGTCAATCATTCATAACTTAGTTTATTATGGTTACACATTGTTATTTCTGAAGTACAAAATGTAAAGGAGAAACTGTTTACTTTCGATAACATCATGAGAGTACAATGAAATGGAAGATTCTATCAGGGTCCGTCTGGAACCTAGATATATTAAACGGGAAATAGAGAGAAAAATATTGGAAGAAAAGAAAATTTAAGGATAAGTAAAGTCTACACTCAAACTCAATAATCTTTTTCACATATATGATATATGTTCATTGTTCAAACTCATTTTATTTATTTATTTGTTTTACATAAAATGGACCGGTTCATGTTAGCCGACCCCAAAATCTTTTGGGAATAAGGCTTGGATGTTGTTGTTGTATTTATTTTACATAAAGGTTCAAGGTTCAACAAATCATTTTCTTACATAAATGAGATATGAGTAATGTGTTTAATTTTTTTATATATACTTTAGTATATGTAAATGAGATATGAGTAATGTGGAATAAGAAAGTGGAATAAAGTGGAAATGTATGGTTGTGGTTGTGTAAGAAAAAGGTGAAATGAATGTGAACCACACAAATTGTCCAAAAATGGTAAGTGGGAAGAATTTCTTGGGACGGCCCAAAAAGGAAAGTGGGAAGAATTTTATGGGACGGAGGGAGTATTTCATTTCCCTTAGTATTTTTCAAGGCAAAACCATATATAAGAACATAACTAGCCACTTTTTCATGTTCTATATTTTCCAAGATCCAAACAAACCCTTGAGGAACCATGCTGTCAGCATACAAAGTTAAGATGAATGTTCTTTTTGGTGTCTATACCTTGTAAGTTTCACCATTGCGGAAGCCACCCATTCTAGTTTTCAATTCAACAGTCCATCCAGGGGGCACCTCAAGAGACTTATCCGTTTTTTGTGTAACCTATAGGCAGCAAATAATAATAGCATTTAGAAGAGAGAAGGTAAGAAAAGCGTCAATGGGGGGGACTAGACCTTCAAACTTGGTGTTGTATTTCCATGCTCATTGATTTCTTGATGTTGACCATCATCATTGTAGATTGCTCGACTACCGTCACCATTACTGATTCCTTGATTTTGACCATCTCCATTACCAGTTCCTTGGTTTTCACTCTCACTGTGATTATTGATTCCTTGATTCTGCCCATGGAAAACATCTCTTGCCTTTGTGTATTCTAGGACAGCCTTCTTGGAATAGAATTTTTTCCCACTTTCTGCATTTGTGTAGTACTACAAGGGCCAAGAAGAAAGATAAGACCAGTGATTCCTAACAGCAGACAAAAGCTGTATATTCACTTATCGGTTTCCTCCACCCAAAAGCTTTATACCTTGAGGGGAGAACTTAAAAGGAGAGGGAAAGAGAAGTGTGTAATTATTTATAAGCATACATGATTTAACTAGGCATATAAGCATAGTTATTTTCTAGCCAGAAACTAACACATAGAGATAAATTCTTATCACAAGAAATCAATTCTCCTCCAATCAACATGTCACTTAGACGAGGTCTACGCACAGTAACTTCCACAACGAGAGTCCAACGTTTCAACGACTTCACTCCATCATGAAGGATGAAACTAGGTTGACTGAAGTATATATTAGAGATAGAGGGGCTTTGTTATAGTTACTGATAGCTGAGAACGACCCAGCTTAAAAGACACAAAATATGTTTCATAAACACGGCTACTTATAAAGAAACACTCCATACATTTCCTCTCGTCAACACTCGACAATGAAAAAAACAGCAAGTATATTCTCATGTAGCACCTATAAATCAAAACGTTTTTGAGTTTAATGCACACAGAAGTATCGTAGTCAACAGCAAATTAAAACTCAATTATAACTCAATGCATTCAACTATAAAAATCAACTAGAAGGAGCAGCACAAAGAAACTGGGCACCACGCCTGATTAATTGTCTCCAAACTTCTCATTTTTGGGGTGGGGTGGGGGTCAAGAAAGCATCTCCCTTCAAGGATAACTCAGTAAACAGGCAAGATCTACAATTAGAGAATCACATACAGCAAAAGGAAGATGCTAATTGCAATTTATAGTGAACTACTCACGAAGATTGAAACTTTTAGGTATTTCATACAAAATAGGAAAGTAAAAGATAGGTGAAGGGGTCAGTTACCTTGGTCGTCCGACCGTTTTTTACTTTCTCGTGCTCGACCCATCCTGGAGGAAGAGGCTCCAGAGATTTTCCGGCGACCATATTTGCAGAATTTCAAGATTATACGACAGTTGGAGCTACTAATCTCTGGCTCAATGCCTAGGGAGCACAGTAAAGGATACACGCTTGTGTGATCTGTACCTCCATTCCTGAGTTCGCATGTCATCACACCCGGCCCGGGGCTATGTTACAAGAACATGACCTGGACGCTACCCGGATGAATGACCGGGTCACGAGTCAGCCCGGACCCGGCAAGTCAACCCGGTCAACATTTATAATTTAATGTAGGGGTTTGCTTCGCGCACCCCCAAAATTGCTTTACGTAACTATGGACGAACAAATTTGGTCTTCTTAATTATTAATTAAAATTAATTGTAATTAAAACCCTAATTAAAATTGCTTTGCGCACCTCAGCGTTCGGCTCCCATATCAATTCATATGGCTTGCCCATTCAATGTGACATTCAATATACATCCAATAAAATGCTGCCATGTGAAATTCATAGAGTCAGTTTCTTAACCGGCTTCTTTTGAACAGAAGATCAACCACCGATTTTTCTGAACACTTATAGTCATTTGAGATGGAAAACACTATGAAGGATACTTATCCGGAAAGGAAAAGAAACAAGAAAGGAGACGACAAGCTGTTATTCAAACTCTAGATTCACAAAGCAAACATGAGAAAGCTATTCTCATTCAAGGGACTGCCTTGCAAAAGAAGAAAAAGTCAAACCTACTCTCATGACATCACATATCAGGCGAACTTCATCAAAGAAAGATGTTCATGAAGAGTGTTGAGGTTTATTCCTTCAACCCTCGGGTCCAACACGTAAGCCCAAGGATTTCGAGTGGAGTATGTGTGAGTAAACTAGCCCAACTAACAAGTGAAATGAATCAAGAAACAACAATAAGGTAGCAAGTAAGTGATTAGGTATTATTATCTCTTAATAACTCCCTAATACAATACTTTTCGCTAAGGCTCCGTCGGCCGTTCGTCTTACAAGGCAGTAGAAGTGCTACCAGTAAGAATGCTAAAGCTAGAATGCTATAAGTGGAAAGTTGCCAACCCTTTACAATGAAATAAATGCTTCTATTTATACCCACCAATGGGTAGGTGACTACACTGACGTGGAAGCCTGTGGTCCGCTGGTGCTCCAACCACCAAATCTTCAGCATTAAATGCGCTTCCCGCCAGAATCTAGGTTTCCCGCCTAACTAGTGGGGACGTTCGTCCGCCCGGGTAGCGAGATGGATTGCTCCAGGTAGCCCCCCAGGGGTACTGGCCGTTCGTCCCCTGGCCTTTGTGGATTCTCGCCATGCGGGCTAGACCGTCTCCGATGGCTATGGGCTTGCTCTGACGACGTTCGTCGTTATCCTGGTGACCCGTAGGCCTGCTCCTTGTCCCTGCATAGACGTTCGTCGAGATGGGCCGCTGAGCCTAACCCCCTACTGCAGACGTTCGTCCCTCCTGGAGGAACATGGGCTCGCTAGGCTAGTCCAGTGATCTAATCGGTCGTACGTCTGGTAAAAAGGGGTGAATGGGCCGGGCCCTGACTTGGGCCATTAACCCAACAAAGAGGTATATTCAAACACATCTCCGGTAACTCAGCTTATCTTGAATGTTCAAACATTTATCTCATCTGTACTTCACTCAAAAGAACATTCAGATAAGTTTATTTCTTTCACAAACTGAAAGATCTTAAACCCTTCAGAAAATCCAAATAGTAACTTTGCTAAGAGGATAATTTAATGATTAAGATCAATCTTATAAGGAATAAAACTGAGAAATCTCATTTAGCTCATTTCTAATGAAGATCATAAAACTAGAATGACATTGAATCTGGCTTTACTTACACAGTCCCTAACCTCCAGAAAATAAACACTTACTGGTCTATCCATTATCCACACATATCCAGAAATAGATCAGTAACCAACTATGTGTTCCAACATCACTATATAATCCACCGTATCCTTACTTCCGTACCAAAGAACCTTTCTTACTTATATCCTAAAAGATCCGGTTGACAACTTTTTGAGAAGTCAACCACTGCACAAAGCACGAAAGTATACTTGCAACTATCCATATTATTCACAGAAAACTCATACCCTGACAAACCAAGTATATGACCAACCCCTACCCTATGGTCATCCTGCGCATTCAATACTACGATTAAAAGGTTCAGAAGAGATTCAATGATATAAAGGGAGAAAGCTAGCAGAGCAAACACCACAAGAATCTAATGATTTCATTAATTATCATTTGACATAAATCAACTCCAAAATCTATCAAATGGTACTTATGAATTTTAGAAGATGATTGTTGGTTTCTCATGGTATCACATGTGATACTACTGCTCTGAAAGGAAAGGAAAAATCAATGGCAAAAGTGATGGGAACATAGAGTGAAAAGAATATGTCAAAGACTGGAGAACAACAAATTGGACTCCTGAATCATTAGCACAACTTATGTTGATGATTTGAAGAGTATCTATTGAGCACACGCCAGTCTAAGACAAGAGGAGACATCCACTCCTCAAGGATGTCATCAAAATTTTACTCACTGGAAAGAAGATATTCTCAAACAGAAAGTCAGCAAGCTCCCAGTTGTCTGCTACTAACTGTTGGTAAAAATTTCTATAGCTCTCTGGAATCAGGAGCAATTATCAGCTGGAAAGACCTTCTTCACCAGCTCCCAAGTATAAATGGATGTATCAGATGATGTTCAATCCCAATCAGAATGTCTCATTTCAAAAGGAGACTGAACCAACATAAAAAAGCATCACACAAAGATTGTTAGGATCATATTTCACTAAAGGTAGATTTTGATGATGCTTCTAACAGTGAGATATTTCAAGCAAACAAAGGATCTTAGCACATCTATTTCTCGAGGCAAGATCTTGAATGTTGAACAAACCTTGAAGAAGGAATGTTTATGCCAGAAAGCTTAAAGGTATTCCTCCTCGTCAAATTGAAAATCAATTGATATTATCATTTGGTATCGAATTAAAGGATATCTAAGTTAGGGGGAAATGCACTAAAGTTCAAGGCAAACTTCACTACATTCATCTTGCTTTGAGAAGATTATCACAGGTTGAGGGGGAACTTCTTACCCTAACAAAAACTCAAGAAATGGACTCAGAGTAAAAAGGAGCATCCTACTGTTTTTGTAGAGTCTTGTTTTTATTAGGAGCATTCTGCTCTCTTGCAGCGTCCTAATAAAAATAGGAGCAACCTACTAAAATAGTAGTGTCCAAATTTAGGAGCACCCTGTTAAATAGATACTTCTTGCTAAAAACAGTGTCCTAAGAATGTCTATTTCTAAGTCACAAGTCAAAAGGACTTAATCATCAACACAGGGGATGTTGACTTCATGCTTCAAGAAGATACAAACACAATGGAAGAATGATGATTCTTCAGATGATGAATGGTGATGAAGAGAAAGCATTAGCAAACTCCCAATCAAAAGGCTCAACTAAGCCTAAAGGATTTCTTGAGCTACAAAGAAATGTTTGATAAAATGCTATACAATCTTTCAAGAGTTTCTAGGCCTCATTACAACTAATCAACTCCAAGTGTCAAAGTCCATAAACCAGATGACTTGACTAGCTCTGAAGATGAGGTGGGATTTATTCAATAAAAACAAATCATAATGGCAGAGATCGGTCAACGTTCTGGATAATAGAAGGAGACCGTTCAAAAGGAAGACTAGTTATATTCAGAAATCATGCTACAAGTCACCAGAAACTCTAGAATGAAGAAAAGAAGAAGGATGGTTTCAGCAGGAAAGCAATAAGCTGAATTATTCAGCCAACTTTTATCTGCAGAAAAATCAGCTGCCTGCCGAAAACACCAGCGAGCCAACTCCCAGTTTTATTCGAGCTTGCAAGATTTCAAATGTTTCAAAGAATAGAAAAATATTCAAGAAAGAGCTATCTGAATTACGAGAATATCTCTGGATATCAAATTCATCAATTATAACAAATATTGCTCAAACAATACAGATCAAAATTGATCAAAGAAATTTTCTGAAAAACTAACTGAGGGAGTGCTTGTCAGAATTCAGCCATGTAGAAGGAATTTATCTTGATTACATCAAAAGCATGTTGACATTCAATAAAGGTGTTACATTAATGAGCCTAAGAGAAGATCAAATAAGCAAGAGGAATATATAGCAACATGCAACGTGCAACATTGATCCTTGATGATTAAACATCTGGCTCAAATTTCGGACGAAATCTCTAAGCAAATCTAAGTGAGTTTCTTTAACAATTTTTTCTCACTTATCCATGCTGTTTTTTGCTCCAAAAAGAGAGCCAGCCGTAAAGTCATTAATAAGGAACAAAAACACTTCGATTGCTACAACAATTGAATGCGCACTGACACATCTTTGCCATATAAATATCCTCCTTGCTTTACAAAATTGTATCACTCTCCAAAAGCTCAAAACATCCTTATATCCTCTTCTAAAAAGGCATTTGAAAAACCATCACCCTGATTCAAATGGATCACTCATCATCTCAAAACATCTCTCTTGAGCTAACTCTAGCACCTTTAGAGCCTAGAAGTATTATCACAACAAGAGCACAAAAAGAAAACCTTGTAACTATTGAAGATATGATCATTCTGAGTAGTGAAAAGGACACTCTTGATAAAGAACTTTACAAAGTGCTCAAATGGAGAAAGTGGAGGTTGTCATCACTCAACATAGGGCTGGCAATTTGAACCGACAAAACGAAAACCGACCCGAAAAAAACTGAACCGCCAAAGGTTGGGACCCGAAATTTGGGACCCGATAAAATTGGGACCCGAAGTCTACATCGGTTTGGTACCGGTTTTTGGTATGCTAGAGGTCGGTTGAACCGAACCGAACCGATATTATATTTTATTTATAAAAATCATTATTTTTATTATATAAATTTTGAAAAGCCCAAGCCCTCTATTTCAAATACATTTGGCCCAACTGCCCAAGTCCATTAGGTTATGAAAATAATTGAAATTTGATCATCCTTAATTCCTTATTCGCCTACGGATTATACGCTAAACGGCAAAGTGCTGAGCGGCTGAAGAGGTGAAGAGAGCAAGTACCATCGCCGCCTACCATCTACGTTGCCGGAGCCGACTGCCAGCCACGCATCCGGCGACCATCTCTCCGGCTACCATCTCCGGTCTAATATTGAGGGTAAGTATAACTCCGTATCAATTATCTTGTTCTGCT